GGGGACAGGCGGGTCCCCGTCCCGGGGAGGCCCCCTCGTCCTGCGGCGGCGGCTGCGGGCGGCTTGAGCCGAGGGGCCCGGGACGCGGGGGAAAGGGCTTTTCTTTTCGGGACTCCACTCCCCCGCGCGAACGCGCATTTCGGGCGCGCAGGTGGTGCCGGCGGCAGCCGGGTCTCTCCGGTAGGAGCACGCCGTGCGTGGGCAGGGCTGCTCCCGCTCCTTCCACCCCGACACCGTCCCGCACAGGGCTGTGTCCCGGGCCACGGCGGCGGAAGGGAACAGCGGGGCCGCCGGGCACGCAGGGCTGCTCGTCCTGGAAGCGGTCGCTTCCCGAGGGGCCGGGGCAGCCCTGCTGCCGCGGGCACCAGGGCTCACGGGAGACTGCGAAATGAGGGCGCTAGGAGATGCCCGGTGCGGTGTCCGCAGGGGCGGGAAGGATAAACCGTGCGGGAGCTGAGATGTTAGAATGATAGAATCATAGAATCATTTAGGTTGGAAAAGACCCTTAAGCTCATCGAGTCCAGCCATAAACCTAGCACTGCCAAGTCCACCGCTAAGCGGTGTCCCTAAGCACCACATCTACACGTCTCTTAAATACATCCAGGGATGGGGACTCAGCCTCTTCCCTGGGCAGCCTGTTCCAATGCTTGACAACCCTTTCGGGGGTACTGTACAGTTGGTAATGTAACAGCGGAGGGAAGTTGCAGAAAGTTGCGATGACTGTCTCGTTTCTCGGGAAAGAGATTCCTGCCTGGCTCGGCACAGACTGCCCTGCAGCAGCCGCCGCCGATGCAGGGGGCAGCGGTCGTCTCTTTAGCATCACTTTTCCGTGCTCGTTTTTTCCTCGGTGTTTTCCCGTGAGCTAAGTCTATCGTTTCCTCGGGGCTCCGCAGCGAGTCCTGGTGAATTGTCCTGTGCTGGTGGTCCCCTCTACAACTGTTAATTGGTAACTCGGAGAGAGTCCTTATTAGCAATGCCCCTTCCCTCCCCCCCGCATCCCTCCGCTCCCGCTGAAGCCAACCCCGTGAGGCGATTGCTAGGAGGAGCTGTTTGTCAAAGGCTAATAAACAAATTCCTCGCGAACACCTGAATGAACGAGGGCCAGGAACAACCCAATTAAGAAACGGAGCTACTGGTTGTTTTTTGTGGCGGTGGAAACAATCCGGGCTCGAAAAGGGTCTATTCAGCGGGCGCTCCGAGAGGTCTGTTTGCAGCCCGCTATTGTTGTCAGAAGCCAAATAAAAGTTCAGCTGGGGGGGAAAGGTGATTAAAAACAACATTCGCCGCTGCCTCCTGAATGCACTGGGAGGCTCGGTTCAAAGGAATCGATCTGTACCCAAACGACTCTGCCCGGGTTTTACCCACGCCCTTAAGATTTTTGTTTTTAAATGTTGCTATTTTTAATGATGTCATCAAAAGTATTCCTGGCTTTCCCGCATACGTGAGCAGCGGGCACAACTGTATAGTCTCTAGCGCAGCATCGATATCCGTGCGATGAGGTACTGGGGAAGTCACAGAAGGGAGTTGGAGCTCGTTTTTCGGAACTAATGATTTCTTCCCACTCTTCGCTGGGCTGGAAGGTCGGTCCAGCCGTGTCAGCCCCGCAGCGAGGCGAGCAGCCTCGCAGGCAATCTCGAGATGTTTTTTTTTTTTTGACGTGACACTGTTAGATGGGGAATAAAAAAATCTCCTAACGACCCTGGGCTGCGGAACCAGCCTGAAATGATCCATTTAGCAGCCACGCTACCATGCTGGAAACTTCTGGGGGAGGACGTGGATTGGAGCCTAAAACAGGGATCAAGCAGAAAAGCATGTGAACTTTTATCTTAAGCATCGCTAAAAGCCTGGGCATTTTCGGAGGATCATGCTAGCGAGGGTCAGCAGGGGCCAAACAAAAAGGGTGCTCAGCTCCCTTGTCTGGGCAAGTTTCGAGGACAAGCCCTCGCTGATCTCGGTTGGGAGCTAGGCTGGGGACCAGAGGGAACGTTTTAATAATAGGATTAAACGGGGCCGGTTTGGTGCATAGCGTTACTCTTTAAAAGCCAGCGATCCTTCCTGACACGGTTCCAAGATTCTCCCAAGCTCTGCTGGAGCTGCAATTAACATATATTAATGGCTGTTGCTTATTAAGCGCTGATTGCGTAAGAAGCAGACGGTCCCTTTCGGATGTGCCTTTTCAACCATGGGGTTTCTTTTGCGTTCAAGTTGGATTGTGCTGTGAACTCCTGATTTTGCCTCACGCTCCTTTGTCACCAAAATGAAGAAAAACGGTGGGCTTCTCTGCCTTTGCCAACTGTATTTACACGACCCCGAGTGTTCCGTGATCCCCACCAGACACACGGGGCTCTCCGGCCCCGGACGGCTTCTCCCCTGCTCCCGGCCGCCGCCGGGGAGCGAATTTAAGAAAATGGCTCCAGGCACGATGCTCCCCCGCCCCTGCCCGCCCCGATTATTGCGCTGGCTGGGTCGTCTCCTGCCTTCTGCCCCTTCCCTACTTTACAGCAGCTCCGCAGGCTCCGTCCCTTTCCCGGGACGGGCAGGACCGAGGAGCAGGCGGAGGCTTGAATTCGCTTGTGGCTGCCGAGGGGGTGGTGGGATCGGACCTTTTAAAGCGCTCTGCAGGTAACTTCAGGCAGCAGCAGTTAGTACAGCGGGGTTTGCCTCCCTTCCTCCTCTCCCCCACCCCTCCTCACCGGCGATCTGTAGTTTTCAGACCAGGGGAGGGAGAAGGAGCTACTTCTCCTCCCTCCGGCCCCGCTTGCGTTTGCGGGAGCGGCGGGGTGCCAGCGCTGGAGGGAGCTCCGAGCCTCCCTTCCCTGCCCCGTGCTGTGCTTCACACCCTCTCGCCCCGCACCAGCGGGCCCTTCCCGAGCCGCAGCTCCGGTCCCTCCGGGGGCAGCGGCCGCACGGGC